GGGAGGGGGGGGGAGGGGGGGGGGGTACTGATCGTCGTGCATACCGTCGTTAGACCATTGACCTCGCATCCCTACAAAGCCGGGACAAGCACACCGGGTTCTCACTTGTCCACGCTCTCACACCACCAAGCGCGAAGTGCCTCGAGGTATTCGGCGAGTCGCATGAAGGGTGCGCTGCATCCTGCTAAACAGTGGCGTGTTGTTGTGTTTGGCCATCGAATGAATCGAATGAATCGAATGAATCGAATGAATCGAATGAATCGAATGAATCGAATGAATCGAATGAATCGAATGAATCGAATGAATCGAATGGATCGAATGCATGGGGGGTGTGGTAGCTTGGCGCTTGGCAAAGAGGAGTATATACAATTTTTCGCAACGTGCATGGTGTTCAGTCGTGAATGTGCGGCACCTCTTGCATTGTCCGCCGAGATCGACCGAGATATGTTGCACCCGTGACACCTACTTCTTCACCTGTAGCAGTAACGGTGGGACGCATTACAGTAGGCACTCGCGTGCTCTGCAAATTACGTGTGTGTGCCCAATTTTCCCTCCCGGCAATCCCTATGCCGCTCTTGGAGATCTCGGAGATCTAAACAACGAGACGTCGCGCGCTCTAAACAACGGTGCGTTCTTATTGGTTCTTCTGGCAATGGAAGACGGCGAGCAATATTCTGCCGACCCGGGGCATGTCGGAGGGTTCGGAGTGTTGGTGGACGGCGTGGGCAGAGGCCTGCCTAGGGCGGTGGCGTGCGGGAAAGAGTTCACGCTGGTGGCGACTTACCCGTACGAGGGGCCCGTCATGGAGGTGAGAAGCAAGCTTGATACATGAACGTCGTCGACGGTCAGCTACTCTTTATTGTCAGCGAAGCTTAACTTGGCTCGTGTCCGAAGTGGACCACCAACAAAATTCTACCAGCGTTCCTCGTCGTGACTCTCCTTGGAGAATATATAACTTGACCTCACTTCGAGTCTACCCAACCTCTTCAGGGGGGGGGGGCTAGCCTCTTGAAGTCTGAGGACATGCAGCACAGCGGGAAACATGTCAACGCTGTTTATCCTTCATTTTCTTTTGGGGTGTCGAGGCGACCATCATGAGCGTGAAGGAGCCAATGTCATACTGTACATTGTCTACATGCAAGAGGAGTTTAGCTATCGTCACATCATTTCACCGATCTGTAGGCAGGCACTAAGCATGGGCGCCCCAGCAAGGCATCAAACCAACCCAAACCTTAGCCCTAAGCCATATGCTAACCTAAGCAAAGCTAGGCTTGTTCGCATTGGTGTCAAGTGCTCTTGCTCTTTCCTTCCCTTCAAGGTGGCGAAGCAAGTGATGCAAGCATCGGCGATAGAAGAGGAGGAGATTAGGCTACTGGAAGAGGAGCAGCTCCGACACCAAGAGGTGCGACGAAGAATACTGCCTGCCGCTGGCTTCACCGTCCCAAATTGTGTTGCGGTGGCGTATGTATCAGAAAAGGGGGGGGGTGACGCTCAATACTCCCTGGTCCAGCAATTACTGCACCCACCTGACAAAGCCTCGCCCTGCATACCGCCAGCATGAATAACCATGTACCAGATCTCTCGATCTTTCAAGCTCGAGAGGTGCTGCCCTTACCACCTAACATTGCCGGCAATGAAGGGTAGTTTTTGAAATATGTTGACCAGCTCTGCTTGTTCATACATACTCGCGTGACGGATGCATCGGTCCGCCTGAAGCGGTGTTCCCTTCAGGACAAACAACATATTCGCCTGATTGAGAGCGTAGCATCTGATTGAGAGCGAGATTGCGCGATACGCTGTAGCCGGACTACCACTGAGAGGTGGAGCTTGCTGTGCAGCTTGAATTGAAGGGCTAGTCTAGCCCGTAGCTTCAAGCCGCTACCCTGGTCATCCTGTGGGAGTCTCTCGTTGTGGAGCTACAGCGGGGAGCAGAAGCTACAGCAGAGCCCACCGCCCGACGCGATACCGCCCTGAAACAGTTTGAGCAGAAATAGCCAATCTGGGCAAATCTAGCAACTTGTCTAGCTCCTCGCTGCAGCATCCGATGACGATGACACGCATATGCTCGCGAAGCTGCTGATGAGACCTTCAATTTGCACCGCTTCTTGGAATAGCCCGTCCCCTACTTGCCAAGAAATGGCAAGAGGCGTCTGGACCCGAAATTTCAATTTTTTTGGCTCTCGCTCTCAATCAGATACTTCGCTCTCAATCAGGCGAATATGTTGTTGACATCAAACTGGACGCCATACGCTGAGCCGACACCTACGAACGACACGTAGTCTACATAGATAGGCTACATACGCCGTCAGCACCCACACACACTCGAGAAATAATCTAACGACAATTCCCGAGTCATGCGCATGGTTGGAGCGACGAGCGCGGGTGCGCTGGTTTACGTGGGTCATACGTTCTCCCGTGTGCCTCAAGCCCGTCGAGGTTGCTTGTTGTGCCGCATCTTTCTTTCTTTCATCGAATCCCTTTTCGAATATCACGCCCTGCAACACCACCTACAGCAGTAGTACCTAAAGTACTACCTGCAGTGCACGTTAAGTTATTTCAGTTCTCTGGACAACTCACCAAGCAGTCTTCTTGTTGCCGCGGGCTGCTTTTCTCCCGTGAACCTGCATCATTTATATCTGCCCACCGAAGAAAACAGGAAAGGAGAGAAAAAAGGAGCTGGAGAGAGGGGCAGAAATGGCTCTACGGCTCTCCGGGAAGGTAAGAACTGCTCAAAAAACATGTGTTGCATTAGTCTAGACTTTGTGGACTACGATGTGGGCAACGTATTTCCTGCAGACATCAGCCGCTGGGTGTGCGTTTTGCCCTGCGCAGGAAGATGACCTTGACCAGTGCTAACCGGCATGAGCGGTTCGTGACGATCATGAGCTCTAGGATATCAAAAACTCCAGCAGTACCCGTCACCGTGGCTCTGCTTGTCACCGACTGGCGTTTTAGACTAAGAAAATTGTATTCTTACTCAAGGGATCGTCGACTGATGATTTTCGTGCTCCCTGTCCGTGTCCACGAAAGGGGCCGGGGGGTTTCAAATCGACTGCACCCACCTGTCTCTAACAAACACCAGACTCCCCAAGCAGGCTGATGCTTGTCCGCACTATATACTGCACGGCGACTAAGAAAGGCCCTGTCATGGACCGCTTACACAACATGTCAAGCTGCGCGCCTATATTTGTACAATCGAACCACGCCAGCCACTCGCCAGTTTTTCTCTTCGGCCCCAGGGTTGTACTGTGCCTTCTCCCGCCTCCCTCCGAACTACTAGTCTAGCTCGTAACTGCTGTTGTGGTGATATTTACATTGGATGATGATGGTTAGATTGTTGTTGTCGGGGTGGTTATTGTTGTCTTCACAAAAATGTCCTGGCCACTCTGTCCCACTTCGTCGTCTTGGTCTCTTCAAGCGAAAAAACGAGAGACAGACGAACAACAGCGAAACAAAACCCTGATGGTAATTGTCTAGTCTAACCCGTCAAAAACCTTCCAGTATCTCGCTTCTTTTTTGTCTGCGCGTGCGTTCATGCTGATCGGTTGTCGTGCGTGGTTCCCGCCCGCTTTCGGTGGCAGGTTCCGACGAAGCTGTGCTCCATTTGCGAGGACTGCCCGGGCTTTCGGCCGACCCCGACTCGAGAGAGCGTCTGCCTTGGGTGCCACCACAGCGTGTCGTTTCACACTAAGGTCAACTCCGCCGAAGCGGCAGCCAGCTACACCGCTGCAGACTCGTTGGCCAAGTACTAGTCTGTCGAGTAGGTTTTGTGTCGGGCACTCTTCTGGTTGCGCGCTGTGGGTCGTATATCACAGTCTTTCTTTCCCCCGCGTTTGTCCAAGGCTTGCGGCGCCACGCCCATTCTTCGGGCCCAGTCGCATGCCGTGTGCTGTTCGCAGTGGTAGTATGGTACTGAAGGGCGGTCGATGCTGTTCAACACAAACACATTTGCACCCAAGACCGAAGTAATTTCATTGGTCAGCCGATTCGCGCGGTCGATGCCACTCAGCAACGAAAAAGCACGCAACACTTGCGTGTCGGCACCATGCTGCCTCCCAAGGTAAAGATGATTAAACGAGGGCGATGAATCACCGACCGCCAGATGGATGGTATCTTAGTTACCCTGTCCTTTGCTCCCGAAAACACTACCTCTAGTTTCACGAGACGATGCTACCATAACTAGTGTAAGGTATATGCGCCGATGGGCAGCTAATGGGGCAGGCAACAGAGCCCAACAGCCGCCGCATGCTCCGCGGCGATCAGCAGGACACAATGTCTTGACGGCGTCACCGATCTAAATCGGCAAACAAACAAGCACATCGTACATCGTACGAAGACCCGGTACCAAAGAAAACCTAACCTGCCCACAACAAAATACTACGGGGTACTTCATTGAAAAAGAAAAGAACGAGAAAAAGAAAGGACTCAAGACCAAGTAAAAGTGTGCGGCTGGTGCACAAGACGCGAAGGAGTTGGACTATCTGGGGTCAAGAGAAATCGAAGAGGACAAAAGAAAGCCCGCTTATTACGTTACGACAGCAACAAATAGTGTTCCCGTGCATGTGTGTTGAAATAGACTAGAATAGACGCCAGAGAAAACAATCGCTCCACGCCGACCACCAGCGCTTGCCCACAGCTGCACACCTCCCCCCCACGCATTGCACGTAGACCTATGCCGCAACCACATGCTGCACGGTTTGCTCCTTGCACACTGCTACAAAACAGGAAGCACGCGTACGTCTCGTACGTCTCCTACGAACAACCAAGGAGACCCGCATGAATGAATCTACGGTACGGAATGTACGGCCCCTTTTTCGACTTTCAAGCACCACACCACGCGACCTCAAATGACGACCCGGCAAGCAATACATGTTTCCCTACCGGGAGGACCGTACCGTACCGTATAAGAAGGGAAACGCCAAGCAGCGAAATCCATGAAAAATCTCAAACATATCATACATGCCGTATACCGCATGGTATTCGGACACACCCAACGACACACAAAGAGACACCGTGGAGGTGGACTATGGAGCTACCAAAAACATCGCGTAACACATCGTGCAGCCTGGACCCACCCCACCCACGCACAATTCACATAGAACCAGATCCCTACCTTACCTTGCGATTGCTAATTACGATACTAGTGCATCTAAAGGGCTCGAACCTCCCCAAAAAACATTCTGACACGCAGACCCAAATAACCCAACGTCAGGCAAGCAGGGCACTGTGCTCATTCTCATGTAAAACTCACTTCAAAACCCAAAGCTCGCTCCAAAAGCCTACCGTAACCCACCGCGTGAAGCAGGCATCCACCACCGCCCTCATCCTCGCCGCCGGCCTTGCTTATGTGCCTACCACCTACCACCTACCTACCCATCTACCCCGGCCCCCCCGACCACCAGGCGCGGACGCGGTCGTTAGCGGCAGATGCTTCCGGGCCCAGGGTGGCGGTGCCGACACATGGGCTAGCGGCCAACATCGCGACGTAGCGGGGCACGCGACGCTTTCGACGCTTTCGAGCGTAAATAAAACATCTACAACAGAACGTACTGTACAGTACAAAAGGAACAATGCCAACGCCTCCTTTTCCATGTGACACTACATATCGTCATCTCATTCGCCGCCCAACAAAAGGTCGACAAGGTCTCGAGCTCACTGTCCATTTCTTGTCCCACACCACAACAAGGTGTGCAGTAACGGCAACGGCAACGGTAAAGGTAACGAGAACGGCAACGGTAACGGTAACCCAACAAACTCAAGGAGAGGGAGACAGAGACGGAGACGGAGACGGAGACGGAGACGGAGACGGAGACAGACAAAACCAAAAGAGTGACGGCAACCCCCGCTGACACAACTCACGCCGAAATTTTTCTTGAGATACAGGCTTTCCTCCCGATGCCACGCCGTGCCGAGAGGAACCCTGGTGACTGCGCGTGCACGACTGACTTGCCATGATCATGATATGATATGGCAGCGTTGCAGTCTACATCGTCACAACCATGCAACAAAAAGCAAATAAGCCCCGACAACTAACGAACCAACCGCGGCGGCCGTTAGCAAAGCAACCACAGTAGTGACCCTCGCTCTTCCCAACCCTACCTCGAGCCTTGCTTTCAGCTTGCTCTCTGGGGGTGCATTCGGACAAGGGAGTGGCGCTACCAGGCCCACATACTCTTATCCTATCTTATCTTATCTTACTCCACCGAAAACAACACGATAGTACAACATGGCAACATAGCAACAATAGCAACAACAACGGTAACCAGATCAACACCAAACGCACCTGTACTTACTCGAGATACGTTCGTGTATCATCTAACCAGGAAATCAACACCAACACGCATCTAACGCATTTAACGCATTTAACGCATTTAACGCAGCCAGGTGACGAGAGGCCGGCTCGCTCGCTGCTTGCCCACGAACCTACGAGAGCAACTTACCGTTGAGCAATGGCGGCCATAATAGCTCAACTTAGAGGCCTGGACAACCAAGAGAAGAGAAGCAACGAAAACAACAAACTAACCCTAACTCTCCTCGTCCGAAGGAACTCGCCTCGCAAAGCTGCGCATGCCCGTGGCGCGCGCCCAGCGGGAGAGCGCCGACGCTCCTTTTCTTTCGACAAAAACATCCATACCGCCACATCGACCCTTGCGCCAAGACAAAAAATAAAGACGCAGAGGAAACTTTCGGAGACAGCACAGAAAAAGAAGCGAGCAACGACCGACCGACCGGTCGGCCGGTCGGCCGACAGAAAACCCCTGCTCGCGGGTTGTTTACAAGTCACACGTCACCACAGGGGCTTCCTCGCGAACTGCTCGCCTACCCGCGAGAACCTAGGGAGCAAGCCGCCATCGTCTCCGCCCGTCCTCGACCCGTTGCCATCGTCCAACGAGCCTGTTGGCGGCTTCGACGTCAAGGTCTTGCTGCGACGCTGGTCGCGAGTCGGCGACACTAGTATCCCCCCGCCGATTCCCGCTGGGCCCAGCCCCGGCCTGGTGCTGACAAACACGCCTTCGGCGAGGGGCAGGGTGCTGTTCCATCCCCGCCCCGATGCCGTGCCCTCCGCCGCTTGGTCCAGGAACCTGAACCGTCCAAGGTTGTGTCCGTCGTTGTATATTTCGTGTGGACAACACCAGGGGCGGGGCGGGCGAAGTGGGGGGTGGGTCGTGAGTGAGTGCGTGGGGGACCACGGCGGGACTGTGGACGGGACTGTGGACGGGACTGTGGACGGGACTGTGGACGATACTGTGGACGGGACTGTTTGCACTTACCATTGTGGCGTGCGACCACCCTGGGTGCATGCACCATCCAGTACCAGTGTCGCTTCCTTCCAACGACAAGACACGCTACAAACACATCTACATCCATTGATCGGCGTTAGAAACCTCGGTGGCCCAAACACAACAAGTTGGTACAGCAGTAGTTCTCGCAGCAGGCCGCCATGCCGCCATGGGGGAAACACGAAACCGCGACGCTGGCAACGAGGAGCAGCAACAAGTAGTCAAGCACCAAGGCAGCAACACGAGCTACAGAGAGGAAGGACCCTACTGTCCAACAGTTCGCCTGCCGTCTCTTGTAGGGTGGGGTGGGCATCAGCCTATCCCATCTTATCCTCTCAACACTTCCAAGCACAACTCACACGACACCGTCAGCTCAGCTCGACCGGCTACGCTAACTGTGTAAACTCACAACCTCACAGACCCTGTAACGCTAACTGTGTCCTATAACGCTGAGCGTGTCCATGAATCCCGGAGCGATACTTACATGCCGCTTCGTGACTCCCCGTCCTCTAGCTCTCTTTCCGACCACGCGTCCTGCAGAGCGCGCTTCGACTCATCTGGCAGAGCGTTTCTCGAGAGGCTGAGCATCTTCAGGGCCAGGTTCATCTTGATGGCGATGCAGATCACCTTAGCTCCTTCGTCGCTCACCTGCCCCCCGACAGCGAATGAACATCAGAACATGCAAACCAACTTTGATGGTGCTGGTGGTGGCGCTGTCTTCGAATGGACAAATACGCCCGGTCTCTGCTCAGCGCCTGTAACCCTTCTAGCCAACGATCCAACTGACGCCGACACGCCCTCCGCCGTCGCAGGCCAACTAACTGCCCCCAAAGGGTACATCGTTCATCCGCAGCAGCCGCATCAATCGCATGACCCCACCGGGGTGTATATCTCCCCACTTGTCTAGCACTCAAAAACCAACACAGATAAAACCCGCGTGCTGTGGACATGAAAAAAATAAAACATAAAACCCATTAAGCCATAGAGCCACCCACCTCGTTTCCATCTAGGCAAACGGTTCTCAACCTCCCGTTCCGCATCAACGCCTCCGTCATGGCGATAACCCCGTCATCTCCGATCGCGTTGTCCTGTTATCGTGCGGTGCGGTGCGGTGCGGTGCGGTGCGGTGCGGTGCGGTGCAATGCGGTGCGGTGCAGCCGAGCACGGTACGTGCACGAATTGTTACATTCATCTGACGGGAAAAAATGATGGAATGGCAACGCCTGGTGTAGAAACTCAGTACCTGGTACGGTTCAAGAGGGTGGGATATACCCCTGTGGGCTACTGCTGTAGCGCGACAGACAAAAACAGCCGTACGACAATGAGGGACAACATCTTGAAATGTGATGACTTCTTGGTGACAAGCAGAAAGGTAGAAAGGGAGACAGAGAGAGCGGCGTTGAAAGCAGCAGGTAGACAAACCCATACCGCCACAGGTAGTCCACGGTGTACGTCGATGTCTCGAAACCGTCTGATGCCTCAAGATGCAGACTACTTACAACACCGCCAGGGGGTTAAAACCGCTGGTGGCGCGACACGCGACTCGTCCTGGACCAATGTCTTTTGCTGGGATGTTCCCACCACAAGGATCATGCCAAACAAGTCAAAGTGACAACATGATGCAAAAGCTCTAAACAAGACAAGACAAGACAAGACAAGACAAGACGGTTCCAACGCCGCCCGCCAGCGTTTGCTGCATAGCAATCGAGCTTTGAGGAATCGGTCCGAAGGCGTGCGGAATACTTTGCGCCACCTCCAAATGGCAACCAAGGCCAACAAACAAAGTGTTTCGTGAAAGCTGTGTAGGAACACACAGGGCCACACACTGCGGTGCTCACACGTGCAAGCGTTGCTTCCAGCTCACACATGAAGGAGTTAATTGTATTTCTCTATTTACTATTTGCTTGCAGTGCATCTTCTCTTCCTCGGCCCTCCCTGTACAAACATATCTCAACAAAAAATCCTCCGTTCTCTGGCCCGGCAATGCTCCACACGCGCGTCCCGTGACATCGACATCTCTCTGACGCCTGCAGCGCTCTTATGGCGACACCAACCAAGTTGTTCTACACCTGCAGGACGAGCAAGGCAGAAACAAGATAAAAACTACCACCAACACCAAAGACGGTGCGATACAGACGACACTGCACCGACACCACCGACATCTGTCAACTGATCCCACACACGCAGACACACACATGCCACACCTGCAAGTGTAGCGTGCGCATGGTTTCGTTGGAAGCAAGGGCATCCGCGATGCTCTTCATCCCCGAAGGTCCGAGGCTGTTCTCGCGTAGGTCGAGCTCCGTCAGGGACTTGTTATTTCGAAGCGCTGCCGCCAGCTGGAGGGCGCCGCGAGGTCCGATCTGAAACAACAACAAGTTTCCACGTTGTTGCCACGCTTCGAGGATGAGGGCGAGATCGGATCGGCATCACCTCGCGACAATGCATCTCTCAGTCTCGCCCTGCTCTTCCTCATGCTCGTTCTACAACATGTACAAAAGAATCGAAGAAAATACTGCTCATCCGTTCGATGCAATACCCGCACCCGGAAGGGTTGATGGTATCCATCCAAACCGGGGGACGGGCGACCGGCGAACTTCGTGTCGGAAGCACTAAGCGCACGACACCACCAGAATCCTGTACGCATACACAACGCAGTCATTCTCGTCAGCGGGGTTTTCTTTCTGGCCTGTTGTCATGTACACCAGTGTCGTGCCAAAGCAAAGCGAACAAGACGGCCTTCCTCTCTCCCCTCTCCTCTCTCTCACCTCATTGTGGGTCAGGTTGAGCCTCGTGAGGGACTTGTGCTCCCCGAGGGCCTGGGCTATCGACTTTAAGTCTCGAACCCCTTCCCATTCTAGCTCCAGCTCCTGTCATCATCCAACACGCAACCATCGATTTTCGCGGCCGTACAGACGAGAGACACAGAGCAAGGGGGGTTACGGCGACGGAGGAGGGGGGGGGGGGGGGTACTC